CCGGCGCTTCAGGGGTGGAACCCGAAGGGTGGTGGCGCCACGGAGCGGAATCAAAACGTCCCAGGGGAGGGATTGGAAGGTGAAGGTCCATAATATTATCAACCCGGGGTTCAAATCTTCTGGGGTTGTATGGACTCCAATGGTGGTGTGGGATGGTGCCGATCATTTTCGGGTTTCGGGATCCGATAATATTTGTACCCCTCCCCATACGGTGGCACGTAATACGCCACGATCCCAAAGGGGTGCGGGCAACCAAGTTTGAAGGAGTATACACACTAAATTTTTCTGAACCTTTTTTTGTACGCAGCTGACGTATTTCCCTGTGCATGCTCTTTTGCGTATTATTTTAAGTGCAATTATGAACAATTTTGTTCATAACTCGTTAAAAATAGTACGCAATATAGCATGCACAGGGAGATACGTAGGTGTATAAAAAAGTTCATAAAAATTTAGTGGGTATGGCCGATACAAGGTGATACTCTGCACCACCTGATAACATTATCGCAAACTCCATACCCCTCCCCGGTTGCACCGGGCTGCTCGGGGGTGGCACGGCGCGTATGACTCAACAAGACGAGGCTCACTCGGGTCCTCGGGGGCGGCGCGTCACCGCTACGCCACGTCACCCCCCGCCGTGCGGAGGAGGAGGGGGAGGCGGGGGCAAGGCTACTGGCAGGAGTTTGCGCCGCGGACAGACTAACGCCAGGCCCGAAGGGGTGAGGGGGGCAGGATGCCGACCCCCTCCCCCCCTCTCGTTCCGCTCAACGTCTGTCGCCGAGGAAATGTAGTGCAAGGTCGCGTCATCCCAACTGCTACCCGTCTGTCCATTATCCACTCGTATTTAGAGCCGATGCCGTACCGCGCTCCGCCCTCCCCCACCATCCCCTTCCGCCAGGACCACGAGCGTCACCACCACCACCACCACGACTACGCAACCATCACTTGGGGAAAGGCTTCAGGCGGGTTTTATGGATGGTCGTTAAAGCGGACGCGAGAAACCCGAGTCCTTCTCGAAAACGCGCCTCTTCGATTCCACTTGGAACGCATCCTCTACCTCTACACTACGGCACACAAACATGTGCAGCGGAGTAGGGAAGGGGGGAAGGCAGTGAGAGAGGGAGAGAGAGAGAGAGAGGGAGAAAGGCAGACGCAGACGTCTTCTCTGCTCTCACTCACTCTCTCCAACCTCCCTCCCACGCGTGCACTTCGCGCGGACACGTGCATTTCGTAACGCAAAGGGCCGCCACCGCCGCCGCCACCCGGCCCGCTACCTCGGCTGCCAAAAACAATAAAATAGTTCCCCTTTTTAGCGGTGCAACAATTCTTTTTTGCCTCAGAGGATGCCCCCCCCCCCACGACCCGACTGCCGGAACGGGCGCCGCGACGCGCGCCCAGCGACACGACGGTCGACGGGGACCTGCTGGGCCTCCTGCCGGGGCTGCCAAAACCATCCGTCGGCAAACAATGCGGGCAGCAGACGAGGGGCCGGGGGCGGGGCCCGACTGGCAGACTCGAAAGGGTGAGCATGCGGCTCGCGGGCGGCGGGGGATCGGAACCTAGATCGCTCGAGCGACCTGACACGCGCGCCCGCGTCCAGAAAATCAAAATAAAAAGTGCGTCGGATCGGAAAATCTAACTGAATGTAGCTGACTGATAACAAAGTGAAAGTCAAGCGACGCGGGGCCGCGGGCCACAACAACTGCAGCTGCAGAGGAGGGGCCCGTCCCGCCCCGCCGCTCCAGCCCAGGCGCGGACGGACGATAAGCGCCTGCGAGGGCCGGGGTAGGCCGGCCGGCGCGCGCGCGTGTCCGGCGGGCCTGCGGGGGCCTGCGGGTGCGGGCGCCGAGAGGCGGGCGGCGGGCAGGGCGGGGCGGGCGCGCCATGTAGGTCAGGGCCTGGCATGGGAACAGGTGCTCAGCTGCTTCGTTGACATGGGAGGCGCACGCTGCGCCACGCCGCGCCACGCCGCGCACCTGCAGCTGCATCGGCGA